TGGAATTGGCGAGAGAGATATCGGGCTTGGCCAAAAATAAACCTCTTAAAGTGTTAAATGTATCTAAATTGTAAATTTTAAGAATCTTCTACATTTTTCACACAATATTTACACATTTCTTTCCGAGTAAAATTAGATGTTTCTTTCACTTATGAACACCTCATGGTTGGACATTTTCATAACACTTTTGCGCGCACAGTGAATTGCATGCGTTCAACAAGAAGAGAACGAACACTTACCACAACAGTACTCTATTGTGGGCATTGGAAAAATAAAAATCACGTCAAATATTTTCTCATTTAGGTTGATCAGTTGGTAAATATCCCCACAGTTTTGGAATAGAAACAAGAATTGAAATTAATGTCGCTGCCTCTTCGACGTGTGATTAGTTCATGGATCGACATATTATCGTGAAACTTTCGCTCGCACAGTGTCTTGTGTCAAACAACAACAACAACATTTACTGCAACGATACCTCATTCAAGCACAACTCACAGATGGGCGCAAGGCTTCTGAAGTCGGATATACAGCATATATTAAAAAAAAATGGGAGAGGGTAGGTTAGCTGCTTGAATTTCAAATGTACGTTTTAGTGCGGGAAATGAAAATTCCTATCTGGCTCCTGAAGCGAACTGCTCCTTCAGCGAGTGGGTGTATGTTAATGACACCGACAGAAAATAAAATATTTCTTTCTGGTCTTTAAAACTATTGATATGGGTATGGTATGTGTTTTTCAAATCGTTTTTAATGAAATGAAATTGATGTATAAGTGTTTCTAGCTGTGAAATAATAATAAGAACAAACTCAAACCTTAAGGAAAAGCTATAATGGAAATAATTTGGAATTCAACGGAATAATTACTATCAAACGAGGTTATTTACTTGATAACGTCATTACAAGACGGAAAATCATGGATGTTTTTTTAATGGATTAACAAGGGTCTATATTCCTTGATCAGATACCGGGTGATATGGGAATCTGAACAAAATAGACATCGCACACTCAAGAAAACAATACATATTTCCTATTTCAAAGTGTTTTACGCTCCATCAACCAAGTGTAAATTTAATGTTGCGGTGGTACAACTAGTGTTGACAAAATAAATTTACTCAATCTTTCATGAACCGCTTACTTTAATTACAAATAGAAAACAGGTATCAAAGGTGAATAGATGAGTGAAAGAAAACAAATGGGTTTCAAAATCATTTTGAATTGTCAGATTAAATGAAATTGAAGTAAATGTTGCTATCTGTAGAGTAAATTGTACTTAAACTTTAAGAAAAACCCATGAAAATAATTGGAAATTGCTACTGTTGACTCATAAATGTACTTATGTAACTGCTCCGGTTTCTATCCAGAAACTCTTTTAAAAATACTTTAGAAAATGGAACTCAATCACAATTTTGCTTGACACCAATCAATAATTAGAGAATTAAGATTTTTTTGTCTTGTCATGAGCGTGGGACAAAGAAAAAGTTCTGAGTTCCCCATGAGGAATCGAACCTCAGACCTTCGGATTCCGTGCTCCGATGCTCTACCACTGAGCTTCTGAGACTCTACGGTGAGTAGGGTCTATTACGAAGTTCAGAAGACACGCCTCCATCATACTGCTGGTATAACTAAATATTCTATTTACAAATTAATAATTGTTTGGGACTTTTTGGATATGGATCAATGTGTTGTGTTCTTGGGCAAGTCACTTTATTCACAGAGTGTCTCTCTCTACTTTGGAGTATAAATGAGTATCGGTGAATTGTCAGGGAAGCCTGATGAAATGCTGTGGGGGGGGGGGGGTAACCTTGATATGGAATAGCATCCCATCCAGCGGGGAGTAACAATACTCTTAGTCGCTTCATGCTAAGGAAGCTGGGATAAGCTCCAAGCCCACTAGCTCGAACACAGAACAAGAGAGCTATCGAAGGTAAACTGTTTTAAAAACAAACTGAAACTTATTTTGTGCAAATCATCTGGATTTCTGATTTAAATGTAAATATGTTTAACTTAGTTGTTTTTGGATCATTTTAAGATTTTAATATTAATTAATCAGGTATCTCTTCGTTAGACTGTTAAGACGTAGGATCATACGTGGTCAGTTCGTCGTGTTCGTCGCACAATTCGTCGTTTTCGTCGAGGCTGACGAAGACCACCTTAGTAAAGGTAAATAGAAATAAGAAATGGGAGGTGCAGCTGGTTTTGCCTCTTCTAGCGATGTTAGCAAGGTCAAAGCGACCATATACGTACGTATACACCTTCATACACCATAATCCCATAGGAAAATGGCATCTAAAAAATGCTTCACATTTACAAGTTAATCTGCTAAAAGCATCTACAATTTTTTTTCAACAGGCTTCTTTGCGTTATTTTCACCTTTTCCTTGTTTGAATTAATGGAAAAGGTTCCTTTGAAAACAAGTAAAGAGGAATTGAAAAGGAATATACTTGTTAACTATTCTTTGCTTTAATATCATTCCTTCCCGAACTAAAATTACAATGGACCTGAAAAAGAAGAGAATCTTTGTATCGTTGTTGCATTGCTTTTTCATAAGTAGAAAGTGAAATACAGCAGCGTATTACTTAAGCGGATGATAAATGATAAACTGAACATCAGAAGAAAATTTCGAAGGACAACGTTGACATCTTTGCAGTCGTGCTTTGCGTTAGAGGAGTAAATAACGGCTTTTTGGGAGACTAACAGGATTGTAATTCCTCATCACAAAAGAAAAGTAATGTGCTAGTGCATGGCTAAAAGCCAGAAATCACAAAAGGAAAGAACTCGACTGTTTATCTCATTGATACTGTGGACATGAGAACAGTAAAAAATAATTCAAATATTCCTCATTACCGGGTTGATCCCCATAATTTTGGCATAGGAATGGAATTGGCGAGGGAGACATCGGTTTTGGCCAAAAAAACCAATTAAAGTGGTAAATATATCTATATTGTACATTATCAGAAACTTCTACATTTTTCAAACAATATTTGGATATGAGCAGGAAGAATAGTTCATGGTTCGACAAATTATCGTGATACTTTCGCTCGTACAGTGTCTTGCGTCCAACAACAACAACAACACTTATGCAACGATACTTTATTATAGCACGCCTCTGAAGTCGAATGTACAGCAGATATTTAGAAAACAAATGGGAGAGATTAGGTTAACTGCTTGAATTTCATGTGTACGTTATAGTGGGGGAAATTACAATTCCCATCAGGCTCCTGAGGCGAACTGCTCCTTCAGTGAGTGGGTGTATGTTAATGACTCCGACAGAAAAATATAATATTACTTAATATCAATCGTGGTCTTTAAAACTACTGATATGGGCATGGTATGTGTTTTTGAAATGGTTTTTATTGAAATGAAATTGTTGTACAAGTGTTTCTGTCTGTTAATTAATAATGATAAAAAATCAAACCTTGAGGAAAAGCTTTAACTGAAATCATAAGGCATTCAAGGGAATAATTACTACCAAACTAGGTGATTTATTTGATAACGTCATTACGATTACGATTACATTACGTCAATGCATATTTCCTCTTCAAAGTGTTTTATGTTTCATCAACCAAGTATGTATTCAATGTTGTTGTGGTACAACTGGTGTTGTCAAAATATATTTGCTCAATCTTTCATGAGCCGCCTACTTTCGCTACAAACAGAAAACAGGTATCAAAGGTGAATCGATGAATGAAAGATCCACATCATTCTAACTTATCAGAGAAATGAAATTGAAGTAAATGTTGCTATCTTTAAAGTAAATTGTACTTAAACCTCACGAAAAACCAATGGAAATAATTAGAAATTGCTACTGTTGACCCATAAATGTTCTTATGTAACTGCTGCAGTCTCTATGCAGATATACTTTTAGAAATATTTTGATAGATACAATTTACGTTGGAAGCTGATCTCTGAGGCACCACTTTAGAAAATGGAACTCAATCGCAATTATTCTCGCCACCAATCAACAATTAGAAAATTGAGATGTTTTTTCGTCTTGTCATCTTTCTTGATGTCAATTGTGGTCTTTGAAGCCATTTATTTGGCCATGAGTGTGTTTGCAATGAACTGAAATTGTAGTAAAATCTACAAAATAAGAAAAACACTCAAACCTGAGAGAATTCCTATGGAATAATGTCAAGTTTGTTTAATAACATGCATCATGACAAGAAGGAAGAACTCTCAAGATGATATATTGAGATTTTTATATTTAGGGGTAACAAGTGTATTCTTACATCAACTTTTATAGATTTTCGAGGGTTTACATTCTTGAAAGTCGCTGATATAGGCAAAGTATGTGTCAATCAAACCTTTTTGAAATGAAATGAAATGAAATTCAAGTTAAAGTGTTTCAATCTGTAAAATAAAAGAAGCTTAAACCTTAAGGAGATGCTATGGAAATTAAAGAAAGAAAGAAAATTTACACGAGTAAATACAAGCAAACTCTAGGAAAAACGAACACTTACGGCATTCCATACTTTTTTTTACCTCTAGGGTAAATAAGGAATTCTTCAATCTATTTTTTACAGATTTTCAAGGGTCCATACTCCATGAACAGATATCGGGTGATATGGGGTTATGAATACAATAAAGCATTGCATAATAAAGAAAACAATACGTATTTACTATTTTAAATTAATTTATACTCCTTCCCCTAACTAGAAGTTTAAATTGTTGTTGTTCTAACAGTGATTACAAAACAAACTTGCTCAATCTTACGTGGCCTGCTAATTCTCGCTATATATAGAAAACAGGTATCTCTGATAAATAGATGATAATGGGTGTTTTTTTTATCTTGATATGCGTTTTCTCCAAAACTTTGCGATTGCAAATACTTTCAAACTATATGGCGTATCTGATAAAATCCTTAATCGACGGATTAATATCTTTAAGACCTACAAGTGCGTTCTTCAGTCTATTTTTACATATTCTCAAGGATTTACATTCCATGATCAGATATCGAGTGAATTGAGGATCGGGACGAAACAGATTTTAATATCACCCAGAATGGGAAGCATAAAAGCAGTGAGCTTTGGGGCTACCAACAGTTGAGAACTCAAGTTCCAACGGAGAGGGCAAAATGAAGACATCCGTTATTTTGGTTCTGTTTGGCTTTGTACTCGCTGTCGGCTTTTCAGTCGCAGTAACTGAAAATGAGTTGGCCGAGATAGCAGATGAATATGAAGCAGAAAAACTTCGAGGGTAAGTTGCATCAAAAAAATAACTGGAAATGAGAACTGTAGTTACAAAATGGACTGAAATAAAAGATGCCACTTCTACCGAGTTTCTCCTGTTTCAAAGAAGAATAGAAATTAAATTATGGACTGGCAATTCCTCCGAAGACAATTCATTAAGCCAAAGGAAGGGGGGGGGGAACAGAAATTTATTGACGATTTCCTTTTTAAGTTATGGAATCTAAGGTTAAGTTCATAAATGAATTTTTATCTGAAAGTGGATTATGTTTTAGACTTATGGGCAATTCTGAAGTGCTTCATTGGAAATGGTTTCATTATTTTTTCTTCATATTTCAGCGAATACGACATGAAAGAGAACGATGGAGAGTTCGATGAAGAGGATCTAGAGGACAATGATATGGCAATCGCCAGAAGGTACGTTGAGGAAGATAAAATCATTTTTGATAGTTTTGGAAACTTGTGCGGTCAAATGTTCTGAGTGACGACTCTCAGCAGAAAATGTAGTCAGGGTCTTAAAGTAGTTGAGAAGAATTGGTTACCTTAACAGTAACACTTGCAAATGGTTAGATGTTCTAGTCTCCTCGGAAAAGGATGATAAACCGTCTCCTGCATTTCCTCGCTAGAGTAGGGGACGTAGCTTCTGGTGTTGTGCTGTGACCTCGATGTTGATCAGTTATATAGGCCCCCATTTAAACCAGCTCCAATAAATAACCAATTCGTTCAAGTTTATCTTTTGTAATCTTTTTTCTGTAACTCATTAAAAGCGAATTGGCCACCGAAGACGAGGAGTTTGACGAAAGAGCATTCGATAATGACGATGATAGAGACGAAGTTAGTGACGAAGGTGACGTAACAGCAATGGAAAAGTCAGCTGACCCCTTTATTCGCTTTAGACGTATTGGACGCAGAATAGGACGTAGGATCAGACGTCGTGTTCGTCCTGTTCGTCGAACAATTCGTCGTGCAATTCGTCGTGGTCGTCGTATATTTCGTCGTTTTCGCGGCTAACGCGGCCAACGAAGACCATTTCTGTGAAGGTAAGTAGAAATGAGAAATGGGACTTGCAGCTCATTCTCTCACTCATCTCGAAGACATATATAACTCGGTTTCCTGAAGGAGGCGGTAGCCACAAAAATAGCTTAAAGGCTTTGGAGGAGTTCTAACTTTCATCATATCGATAGCTGTTTGCTGCACTAAAATGAGGTAACTTTTGACCAACCCGAAGAGTGACTAGCATCTAAATTCTCCTTAAAATGTCCTTCCTTAATCACACATTAAGGTCGCGAGAATAAAGGAAACGATCACCAACTAAAGAAGTTGTTGACTGTTAAAAAAATTCCCCTTTTCAGCCGCTTAGGAATTTTATAAAGAACAGTATGGAGAATGTACATACTAATGTTAAAGTGTAAAGGATTAAGAGTGACCCTCATTAGTACCTAGGTTTGACTTTTCTCTTCCCTGGCAGGTCTTGATGAATACCAACCTCGAAAATGCATGAGTGAAGAACTTGGAACGACTAATAGGACAGTTTTTATGTTTCGGAATATTGTAATACTTCTAAAAAATAAAACTCCTCACCTGCTGATGAAGTATAATGAGGAGGAATTAATGAAGTAGTAGTTAAAGAAAATGTGATTTGCTATAAGTTTGCGTCAACAGAAATAAATCAAGTTCAGAAATACCTGGCTATGTTGTGTTTGTTTTTCTTGTGACTTTGATAAGTTTATTTTTTTGGTCAATTTTTTTTCTCGTCAGGATTTTGCTTTTCTGGTTGTGTCCTGTTTCTATTCGAGGGTTTTTCTTTCGTCTGGGCTTCCGCGAGAATAAAATAAGATTCCTCGTGAAGGCAGATATGTGAGTTACATTATTAACACCCGAAGATAAAAATTTATGTGCACACGCCACGAAGCCATGCTATTTTCTCTATATAAGTAACGACGATGTAGCCTTTAGAATATGCAGAAAGAACTAAAAGAAATAAAAGAAGATACATACCCACAACAACTATTTAGGTTGTGAAAATATGAAGGTAACTCATGCAAAGGCTCGTGTGCCCTGCTTAAATCAACTGTATCAAAGTTTTAGTGGTAAGATTACGAAAAGAAAGTATGCAAAAGATTGTCCCCATTGATGCTGCGGAAATGAGAACAGTAAAAAAGACTCAAATATCTCCTCACTACCGGTTTGATCCCTACAGTTTTGGCGCAGGAATGGAATTGGCGAGGGAGACATCGGAGACACCCTATTTAATTGTTAAATTAGTCTAAATTATAAATTATGAGAATCTTCTACATTTTTCATACAATATCTGAATGCGAGTAGGAAGCACATTTCTTTCCGAGTAAAACTAGATGGTCCTTTCACTTATGAACACTTCATGGTTGGACATTTTTCATAACACTTTTGTGCGCACAGTATATTGGATGCGTTCAACAACAACAGAACGAACACCTACCACAACAGTAAGTTATTGTGGACATTGGAAAAATAAAAATCAAGTCAACTATTTTCTCATTTTGGGTTGATCAGTTGGTAAATATCCCCATAGTTTTGGCGTAGAAACAGGAATTAAAATTGATGTCGCTGCCTCTTCTTTCATTAGTTCATGGTGAAACTTTCGCTCGCACAGTGCATCAAACAACAACAACAAAGACACTTACCGCAACGATACTTTATTCAAGCACGCCTCACAGATGAGCGCAAGGCCTCTGAAGTCGAATGTACAGCATTTATTAAAAAAAAAATTCTGGGAAAGGTTAGGCTAACCGCTTGAATTTTATGTGTACGTTTTAGTGGGGGAAATTACAATTCCTATTGGGCTCCTGAAGCGACCTACTCCTTCAGCGAGTGGGTGTTAATGACACCGACAGAAAAATATAATATGTCTTAATATCAATCGTGGTCTTTAAAACTACTGATATGGGTATGGTATGTGTTTTTCAAATTGTTTTTGAAATGAAATGAAAGTGATGTATAAGTGTTTCCATCTGTAAATTAATAATGATAAAAAAAATCAAACCTCAAGGAAAAGCTATAATAGATAACGACATTACAAGACGGAAAATCATGCATCTTTTTTTGTCTTTATAGATTTTCAAGGGTCTATATTCCGTGATCAGATATCGGGTGATATGGGATCTGAATAAAATAGATATTGCTTACTCAAGAAAACAATACATATTTCCTATTTCAAAGTATTTTACGCTCCATCAACCAAGTATGAATTTAATGTTTTTGTAGTACAACTAGTGTTGACAACATAAATTTGTTCGATCTTTCATGTACCGCTTACTATAGTTAAAGACAGATAACAGGTATCAAAGGTGAATGGATGAATGAATGAAAACGTATGGGTTTCAAAATCATTTTAACTCATTGGAGAAATGAAATTGAAGTAAATGTTGCTATCTTTATGGTAAATTTTAATTAAACTTAAAAAAAAGTTATGGAAACAGTTAGAACTTCCTACTGTTGACCCATAAATCTTCTTATGTAATGCTTCGGTCTCTATCCAGAAATACTTTTAGAAGTATTTTGGCAATACAATTTACGCTGGAAGCTGATCTTTAAGGTGCTACCTTGGAAAATGGAACTCAATCACAATTCTGCTTGACACCAATCAATAATTAGAGAATTAAGATGCTTTTTGTCTTGTTACGAGCGTGAGACAAAGAGAAAATTCTGAGTTCCCCACGAGGAATCGAACCTTGATATGGAATAGCCTATTCCAGGGGGGAAGTAGTAATATTCTTAGTCGCTTCATGCTAAGAAAGTTGGGATAAGCTCCGAGCCCCTTGGCTCGAGCGCAGAACAAGAGAGCTATCCAAAGTAAACTGTTTTAAAAACAAACTGAAACTTATTTCGTGCAAATCATTTAGATTTCTGATTTAAATGTAAATACGAATAACTTAGTTGTTTTTGGATCATTGTAAATAGTTTTAATATTTATCTAATCAGTATTGAAAATGTATGGTGATCCCTTTCTTTAATAACTTTTTATATAAAATTTTCATATTTTTATTCATATCACGATCACATCAGCACTGCTGTAATTTTTAATCGTGTATAAATAAATGCTAGTACTATTTATAAACGAGTTAATATTATCCAACTGCGTGATTTATCTGATGACATCATTACAAATTGAACGGAAGACCATTTAAAAGGACCTATTGAGATTGTTTATCTGAAAGGGTAACAAGAGTATCCCTAAATGTTTTTTTATTTCGAAGATTTTTCAGGGTTTAGTAGAAATTCTTCAAGGCCCTTAATATCAGCATGGTATGTGTAATTTATATCTTTTTTAATGAAATGAATTGGAAGTATAAATGCAACTATCTGCAAAAATAAAAAAAATCATACCCTAAGAAAAAAGCTATGGAAATAATTTGGAATTTCAACAGCAATATTAACAAACTATAAGGTTTATCTGATAATATCATTACACGAAGGACGAACGTTTAGGAGAACCCAGTATCTTTAAGACTAACAAGTGCATTCTTTAATCTGTTATTTATAGAACTTCAAGGGTCTACATTCTGTGAAATCACTGATATGGGCACGATACGCAATAACCAGTCGTTTTAATGAAATGAAATTGAAGTAAGTGTTTCTAATTGTTAAATTAAACAAACTTAAAGTCAAGTAAAGCTATGAAATAGTTAGGAATTTAAGTAAGTAAATATTTTCAAACTACATGGCTTATCTGATAACATTGTTACAGGAAGGAGAAATATTTAGGAAGGTCCACTGAGTTTTTACCTTAAAATAACGCATTTAAAGTCTATTTTTTACAGATTTTCAATGGTCTACATTCCATGATCACATATCAGGTGATATGGGTACCTGAATACAATAAAGCATTGCATACTCGAGAAAATAATACGCATTTCCTATTTCAAAGTAGTTTACACTCCATCCACCAATTGGAAGTTCGAATTTGTTGTGGTGCCGACCATGTTTACAAAATAAAATCTTTCATGACCTGTTTATCCTCACTTTATTCACACAAAAAAGGTTTCGCTGGTGAATAGCTGAATAAGAGATAATAAACGAATTTAAAATAACTTAACTTATGAAACTGCATAGTTAAACGTACAAGATCGTAAACTTCAGGATGGGTGATTTTTTTTCTTAAAATCCGTTTTTCTCCAAAACCATATGATTGTAAATATTATCAAACTATTTGGCTTACCTAGTAAAATTAATAAAAGACGGACGCAATATCTTTAAGACTTTCAAGTGTACTCTTTAGTCTATTTTTTACAGATTCTCGAGGGTTTACATTCCATGATCAGATATCGAGTTAAAAGAGGATCGGGACGAAATAGATTTTTAATATCATATAGAATGAGATGCATAAAAGCAGTGAGCTTTGAGGCTACTTAAAGTTGAGAACTCAAGTTCCAACAGAGAGGACAAAATGAAGATATCTGTTATTTTAGCTCTGTTTGGCTTTGTACTCACTGTTGGTTTTTCATTCGCAGTAACTGAAAATGAGTTGAACGAGATAGCAGATGAATTTGAACCAGAAAAACTTCGAGAGTAAGCTGGATAAAGAAAACTAACTACAAATGATGACTAGATTAAAGAAAATGGACTTTATAAAGGTGCCAAATGTATGGAGTTTCTCCTGTTTTTCCGGAAAGAAGAACAATAACCAGACTGCGGTGGGAATTGGCAATTTCTCCGAAGACAATTCATTGAGCCAGCGTGGGGGAATTGAAATTAATGAAAGATTTCGTTAAAAAGTTGGAATAGAAAGTTAAATTCAAATATGAATTATTTTTCTCAACGTGGATTATGCTTTAAACTTATGGGTAATTCTAAAGTGCAGTAGTGGAAATGGTTTAATTTTTTTTTCCTTCATGTTTCAGAGGATACGACATGAAAGCGAATGACGGAGAGTTCGGGAACGTAGCTCCCGGTGTTGAGATGTGACCCAGTTGCTGACCATGCAGGCCCCTATTTAAACCAGTAATTCGTTCCTATAAGTTTCAAACTTCTTCTTTCAATCAGTGAAAATGGGTTAAAGTTGTGTGTGGGTTAAAGTTTAATTTTGAAATATCCTTATGAAACAGGTTCCTGGCTTGAAAAAGTATTTTTTTGTCAGCCGGGATGCTTCCCTTTCTTCCGAAATTTGTTCAAAATGATATGTAAAACATGAATATCTATATTATGTAAACAGAGATTGACCGAAATTTTCCACTTTCTTCTTTGATATTTGGCGGTAAAGTGAATTCGAAAAATGATCATTGAGGCCTGAAGGTCTCGCTTTAAATCATATCTGATGTAAACGTAATTTATTTGCTGTCACAAAAATTGAGTTTGGGAACAGCTCTTTTAAGTAGACAAAGTTACGAAAATCAGGAATTTTCAAGCAAGAAAGATATGTCAAGTGGATCTTAAAAAAGACTTGAGCTTGGATTTTTATATAACATAGAGCTGCCAATAAACATGGATCTCAATGGTGTCAACCATCAGCCGTAAACCGTAAGCCGTAAAACGGCCAAGAAATTTAACCGTTAGGCGTTAAAATTGACAAATTTTAACTGTTAGTCGTAAGAAAGTTCATGGTTAAAAGTTTTTCTTTCCACATTGTGTCACTTAATTTTAATTGTTAGCTCTAAAAGCCATCTCCCCATTTATCCAATGCAGGAAAAATTTA